TGCTACACCAGGGAGTCTATATACACCGTTATATATGTATTGTCTTCCTGGGATTAATACTCAAAAAGTATATTTGTTTAAATGGACCGTATGGTGTACAGTCACAGCATAATATTTGGTAGAAGTGGTAACTATAGAGATTTTATTCCAGATATTCATAGATTATTCTAATGTCCTAGTCGTAGACTGTTGAATGTTCCAACCAAGGCAGGCAAGCAGTCAAAAATACATCATGACACAGTGATCACTGTTCAGATATTATTACTGGTGACGGCTGCCTCCCAATTATAACTGATGATAACATTGAGGTAACTTCAAATTTGTCCTAGGACAGATATCCAAGAAGCACCAATTATGTGTCAAAGGCCCTTTTTCTGAAAACAGTTGACCATTATAAATGTGGGCAATGGAATGGGTGTGGGATTGGGGTGGAACCCAAAGTTAGTTACTTTGGTTCAGTATTGTGGAATCTTAGTTATTCAAGCACGAATTGCTTACTCTGTCATTGTACCAATTTACCATTAAATATAACTACAAATAGTTGATCACTCGCCTGCTGGCTAACATACAATTACTGACACTAACTGTTACAATACCTGAGCATAAACATGGCTATAGAGTTTAAAAAGTGGCCAGTAACCGACACTACTAACTGGTAGTAAGGGCTAAATTACATTTTGAACAGGCAAACAAATCACTAATACTACTTACTAAGTACTAATATGTAACTGTAAGGCTACTAGATCTAATCAATTACAAGAAAAGGGGGCTATCCTGCTGATAATTAAAAAAAACATAAATGTTTTTGAGAAGTGAATACAAATTTTTAATCGAGGTAATCAAGAATCACCAACCTAACCAGCTGACCTACGAGTACTAAAAATATTCCACCCGAAAATAGGTAGGCCTATATCAGCCTTAGATTATCAGCTGAAGATGTTTCTTTTGTGTTTGTTTGGTTGCTCGTTGTTTGAAATTGAAAAGATACATCGAAAAAAACACGCTAAAACATTAATATGTTATTAATAAAAAGACTAAGAAATTGAAAACGCCTCGATTAACGTGAAAAAGACCTTAACGTATGACAAATGGTCATATTTGATGGCAATTTTTTCTAGAAGTTTCTTCTTTTCCATAGATCTAGCCTAGATTGAAATTAAATAATCAGAAATGAAACCATAAAAAGCCAAAATAACTAACTTAGAAATAAAGAAATACCTTGGGTGTATGAGCTCATAGTGATTAGAAGCGCAGTTGAGTAAAATACGAAGCAAACAGCAGCAAAATGTAGCAATATGATAGCAGTATGATAGTCACACAAAATGGCGATATCAAGAGTGAACTGTCGTCATGACGACGTCATAAATCTCGCGAGACTGTCATGGTAGAATTGTACTGGTTCTCTTGCTGATCTGCGTTGTGAGGATCCCAGTCATGTTCCTTGTCCATTGATAAGTTAATTGGCGCCTCGTTCAAAAACAAATGGGAGTTTGTACACAATCAATGTATTTGAGACGAGTGAGTATGGTTTTACGCCGCTTTTAGCAATATTCCAGCAATATCACGTCGGGGGACACCAGAAATAGGCTTCACACATTGTACCCATGTCGGGAATCGAACCCGGGTCTTCGGCGTGACGAACGAACGCTTTAACCACTAGGCTACCCGACCGCCCCCATTTTAGACGAAGCAACGCCTCTTTATACGCGTACTAAGGGGGCTTGTCTGCTAGGGTGGACATAGGTATCACAACTAGATATTCACAAGTTGTTTGATATTTTCGAAACCCAAAATATATCATACAAATAATTATGACGACAGAAAACTGAAGAGTTTAATGGGTTAGATGTACTTTGCGTACATGCGAGAAAACATACGTGTTTTGTTAAACATATGTTTTATTCCACAATTGTGAGATTTTGAGTGTGAGTTTGGGTTAACGCCGCTTTTAACAGTATTCCAGTTATATCACGGCGTGTCAGCTTAACGTGGGAGGAAAACCCGAAGTGATGCTGGTCTCAGACGTTTACCACTTCGGTGAAACCCACGAGCACGGGTATGGTGCTGACAAACCAAAAAAAATAATCGGGGCGAACCGGGATTCGAACCCACAATCATAGGTTTCTGGCGTGCCCAAGGGACGCAACTCTGCACAGCGAATCGCGGCGCCTTTGACGACTGGGCCACCCTTACCCCTGTGAGATTTTGAGGCGGCGGATAAATCATGTATATTAAATAATACGCGTAAGATGAATAGAATAACACTGGTTCAATGCAGCAAGGGGTCTGTGACTCGAATGCACACGTGTGGTTTAGAAGTACGCAGGAAGACATTAATGGCAGAAAACTACTGTCAGACATTTCGAGAGAGTTTGTCTTACATCTTCCCGAGGCAAGAGAGTTAACTGACTTTTAAAGTCCAGTTTCTACGCTTGCCGAACTAGGCTGGTATTATGGAGTTACATTTTGGCTGGATTTACGAGTGTGCAAAAAAAACATCAGGGGTATTTCCAAATAACGACATCCGATGAGCTTCCGACGTTCTTTTTGTCTGTTTGTTTAGGCTGAAGAAAGTAATTAACATGCGCCCTTTGTCGAAATCTTCATAGATCACGAACCAATCAGTGTTAAAAAAAACAACAAATATTGCCTCCAAGTTTATTTAGCTGTCCTTGCAGGCGGTAGCCCAGTCTCTTGTCACGCTCAGTTGCAAATCGACTCACGGCAGCTGGTAAGCCCCAGCGGCCAGTGTCAGACAGCCGAGAAGAGTGAGTGAGTAAGTTGGGTTTAACGCCGCTTTTAACAGTATTCCAGTTATATCGCGGCGTGTCAGCTTAATGTGGGAGGAAAGCCCGAAGTGATGCAGGTCTCAGACGTTTACCACTTCGGGGAAACCCACGAGCACGGGTATGGTGCTGACAAACCTAGAAACATAATCGGGGCGAACCGGGATTCCAACCCACAATCATAGGTTTCTGGCGTGCCCAAGGGACGCAACTCTGCACAGGGAATCGCGGCGCCTTAGACGACTGGGCCACCCGTGCCCCCACAGCCGAGAAGAAGCCAGAGATATTTGCCCCTTTAAATTGCAAACCTGCAAACATCCTGGAACTTATGGAATACTAGAAGGAATGTTGTCGCCCTTACAAAAACAAGCATAAAGTGTCAAAATGAACTAAAGCCCGACATTTTGATGAAATATCGCTATGTCGCATTGTCGTTCTTATATAATTACAGCTTATTTTCAAAGCACAATCTTTAGTTTATTAGATGAATGAGCTCAGGACTCAACTCAGTCATAACGATTAGAAAAGCGCATACATTCGTCGGTAAAGAGGGCTTATAAGTCTGTGGTTCAAAGTGTCGTCGGTCATCTGACGAACAATAGCTTAGTTTCTACTGGTACTGGTGTGTGTACAATATATAATCACCTAACGCTGTTTAACCAATGTCTAACAAGTACTGTCAAAGTTGATGTAAACGTGTGTACATCTGATGACCATGTACTGCAGTCTACAGGGGTCTAGCACATTTATTATACAGATTATGCTTGAACAGAGAGAGAGATGCTACATGTTATCACTATTCGGGCTAGTATCTGTCCCTGTTGCTGTAAACAATGCCTAAAAAATATTGTAAAGATACACTGGAAAACCGGTCACGTGTAAAGCAAGGTTTGCAAAAGTGAAAGTAGGAATACTATAATCAGACTCAAGGCTGACAGCACAAAGAAAATGTAAAGTAAGTGAAGAGATTTATTCTTGACAGCATAATCATAGCATGTTATGTAATAAATGACTATTACAAACATTATTACACACTCAATATTGAACAATCAGTGGAACACTAAACACTGTCGGTAAAGTAAAGTAGAGTAAGTAAAGTAGAGTTCGAGAAATCAAAGCAAAGTTCGTTGTCCGACGACCCTGAATGCAGTGGGATTTACAACTTCTGTTCCACAGGTTACAAAGTAATCAAAATGTGAGCACATGGATCATTGCCGTTCTAAATGTTGGACAAGAAGAGAGCTTTATATCATCAGCTTTGACAATTGCACAGTAATTGTTTTTTTATTCAAGGACATTTTCTGTACATCCTTTTCAGGTGAAACAAGCTGACCATGTTCTTGCATCATAACAACACCTCTAACAGGATGTCTGGCTCGGACATCCTCCTCATGATGGCAGTCCCTCCCTGTGTGGTATTATTTCCTTCACAATACAGAAATTACTGCTGTTGTAGAGGATGCTGTTGCAAAAGGCACAGCCGTATGAAGCATCCCAGGCAGCCCGTCACTCGATGTCCCCGAGCTTTTGTTGCCCTGCAACAAATTTATATCCCTGGTTGAAGCAGGTTTGTTCAACCAGTGTAGGTGATTACCGCACACACCATTACGCTGCCACCAAAGCCAAATGACATTCGCCTGCTTCCAATCGTGTGCTGAAGTTTTTCCATTGTGTATCAGTTTCTCCGCTGCTGATAGACCCATCAGTTTTGTAGAGTCGACCCATTTATGTGCCTCACATGCAGAATATGTACATGTGCAGATCTGTGGTCCTCACGTGGTGTCATAACATGACACCTGTGAAGATCAGGGGTCTTCAGCAAATCATACTTGCCCTAAAAGGTGACTGTGCTTGTCATAAGAGGCAACTTAGGGAATCACGTGATCAGGCTCGCTGACTTGGTTGATGCATGGCATCGTATCCCAAATGCATGGATCTAAGCTCATGATGTCAATCACTGGATTGTCTGGTCCAGACTATTAGTTAGATACCGCCACCATATAGCAGGAATATAGCTGAGTGCGGCGTTAAACAACAAACAAACACAATTGGACGTTGCTGCTTTTTGTTGATTCCAACAATGGCAAATTATTAAGGTGGTACCAAATGACATCACATGACATCATCACTTGCTTCACATGTCGTTGTCTCATTTCGGAGAATCGGTATCACGTACACTTTTGATTTTAAATGAGTATTAAAAAAACTCACATCTCTTTTGGTAAGTTTTATTTTCCAGACATATTTCACATCAAATAAGCACGGTCCGATACCATGGTTACATGGTTACAAAATAGTCTGTACAAGATTCCAGACATCATTCTCTTGTAATACCACTCATGTCACAAACATAATATGAAAGAAACAAATTGAATACATCCGACAGTTGCAGCTGCAGTATTAAAAGGGTTGTTGGTTGTAGGCTTTGACCTCATTGGTCTAAACAATCTCCATGTCTCTGCTGAACTGTATTAGCAGTTTCTGTGTCTTGTGACACCCTGCGGTGTTTCTGGTTCAGCCTGCAGTGGAATTGGCTGGAAAGCTACCGCTGTATAAAAATGCTGAGATCCGGCATGTAGCGATAGGGCTTCTTCCTGTTGGGGCCTCTGTGAAAAGATAAGCAGAAAATATGTCATTAGACAAATCTGTAGTCATTGCCTGTTCATTCTAACCATGTTCAAATTTGGTCCCTATTGACTCCAATCGTGACCAACTCGTGTTATTCCGGGACAAGCCGAATAGCGATTCATGGCCCCCTCATGGCCATTTTTGCGATTTTTGACTTCATTGGGGGCAAGCCTTAGCCATGCTCACCCCCGGAAATCATCTTTGGACAACCCAAAGGTATCCTCGAGTCTCTCATGTTGTTGTCCAGAGCCATGCCTGTCTCAATCCCATGAAATATCTCACCTAGCTGTCCGGGGGAACACCTTCTCCTTGGGGATCTCCACAGGTGAGGACACATCATGTGACTCGGTCTCCAGGTAGACGTCAAAACACATGAGGAGACGCTGAAGCTGATTGGACAGCAGCTGACCTTGTGACTTCCTTCCCACCAGCTCCTCGTAGTGGATGTTGACCTCCTCCTCCAGCTCCTAGACACGGTGAGTGAGTGAGTGAGTGAGTGAGTGAGACCTTGGGTGGGTTACTAAGTGTTTGTTTATTGTTTAACTCCACACTAGCAATATTCCAGCTATATGATTGCCGTCTGTACATAATTGAGTCTGGACCAGACAATCTAGTGATCGACATCATCAGCGTCAATCCACACAATTTGCATACACTGACATGCATGAAGCAAGTCAGCGAGCCTGACCACCTGGGCCCTGTTCCATAAAGCAAGCTTTGCGCTAAGACAATCGTAACTTCCATACTTTGATTACTTTGATTGGCAATCTGTTGAGGACAATGACAGCGATATTACATACACCCAATCCTCATATAATCAGTTCCTAGACAAGCATGGTGTGATGGGTTTAACGCAACTTTTAACATCATTCCAGTTATATCACGGCGTGTCAGCTTAATGTGGAAGGAAAGCCCGAAGTGAAGCAGGTTTCAGACGTTTACCACTTCGGTGAGACCCACAGGAACGGGTATGGTGCTGACAAACCTAGAAACGTAATTGGGGCGAACTGGGATTCGAACCCACAATTATAGGTTTCTGGCGTGCCCAAGGGAGTATCCCAACAGGGACTTACAAGTAAGAAAGACAAGCCTATCAACACACAGCTACATATATGGTATTTCCCCTTGATTACTGATGTGGTTGGGATCAGAGCTCCAGATAAGCTTTTGGTGTTGTGGGTATTTTATTTGATACGCTTGGATTTTATTTTACTGTGTATTTCTGCATTTCTGATGCTTATTTTACGCAGATACGCAGCTTATCTGGATCTCTGTGGGATGTTACCTTGACATGAATGTCATTGCCAGCATTGCGGTCCGTCTGCCAGGTGATGTTGACAACAAACATGGGTGCCACAGCGGGGTAGTCGGGCGTGATGATCACTTGCGAAGTCAGCTTGGCTGTAAGCATTTCACAATAAAAACTGAAAACATTCAACAACAAAATGGACTCGAAAAACACATAAACTCCAAGAAGCAGAAACTTTTTATCTCGGTCAGTAGTGCTGACAGAAATATGTTGGGGATGCTTCAAGGTCCTCAATTATCTATTGTGTCTATTCAGGGTGGTCCTGTTGTCTAAGGCACCGCGATTTGCTGTGCAGAGTTGTGTCCCTTGGGCATGCCAGAAACCTATGATTGTGGGTTCGAATCCCGGTTCGCCCCGATTATGTTTCTAGGTTTGTCAGCACCATACCCGTGCTCATGAGTTTCACTAAAGTGGTCTTAGACCTGCATCACCATGATCACTTCGGGCTTTCCTCCCACATTAAGCTGACACGCTGTGATATAACTGGAATACTGTTTAAAGCGGCGTTAAACCCAACTCACTCACTCTATTCTGTTGTGCTTCTTATCTCGGATCAATTTACCTCCATAGCATGGCGTAATTTTGAGTCCAATCCACACACTCACAAGTCCAGCCTATAATATTGACTGACCCATGAACATCCCCGTTAGAATTAGTCTTCAGCAACCAATGCTTGTCGTAAGGGGCGACTAACGATATTGTGCAGTCAGTCTTGCTGACTTGGTTGACTAGGCAGTGTTTGAAAAAAATTTAAGTGTTGCCTGCCCACCTTCCAAGTTACCTGCCCGCATTCAGGCATCATAAATATTGAAAAATAACAAAAACTAAGAGACGAATAACGTCTTGATTAAGTTGAAATAATGCAAACAATTACTTGAGAATCTACAAGGCATAATAATATAACTGAATACGTAAGTAGTCTTAAAATTGTCTGCCAGACAGTTGGGCAGGTGGAGGAAAATTTCATGCAGCCAGACAGAAATGTGACCAGCCACGGCAGGCAGACAGGCAGTTATTTTGGAAACTGTCCCTAGGGGGGATTATAAATGTGAATATTCCACACAAAACAACCAGTACTAACCTGATCCCCGCTCCATAGTCAGGGTGAAGAACATGTCCGTCTCTCGCGCCATGTCGGTAGAAATAGCTGACCGTGTATATGGCAAGGATGCAAAGTCCTCGAATGTCGACCGTTGCCATGACGTCACATGGGACAGAATCTTGGCAGGAAAGTTCTTCAAGACATCACTGCTGACTGGGATAGAGTTCCGCTCTGACACAAAGAACACAAGAACATGACAGCCATGTAGAATAGGCTCTGTAAGGATAACCACTGAACCACTGCAACCACTTAAAATGTTTGTTGGGGTCTTATAAAAGTAGTGGCCAGTTACGATTGAAACCATTTAGAAATGAGGACTATTGTGATTCATTTTGTCACCATACATGGAGTCAAACCTCGTTTACTTAAAACCAGATAACTAGTGTCCACATGATGTGATCAAGGGAAGGCTTGTCAGATCTTCATGACCCTTTGTCAGCTAAGACCCTTTTGTAGATTTATTTTTTGTTTGTTTGTTTGTTAAACGCTGCACAAGGCAATAATCCTATATATGCCTCTATGCTATATGACAGCGGTCTGTAATAAATAGAGTCTGGGCCAGACAATCAAGTGTTTGACATCATCGAACCAGACCCCCCATCCCATTAGTCGCCTCTTACTAACATCGGTTGACTTCACAGGGGAGAGAAGTATTGCATAGGTATTGCATAGGAGTAAAATATGTGAGTTGAGTTAGACTGGATTGTTTAGTTACCAAGGCACCAACAAATGTTTGCAACCCTAGAGGAACATGCTGGTACTCACCGAGGGAAGCCAGCTGTTGCAGCAGTGACAAACGTGACTTGATCCGACGCCGTAGCTTCTTGATGGTCTGCTGCATGTAGCTGGCACTCACAGAACTCTTGGCCTTCTCCAAGCCGTTGTCTCCCAGGAACTGCAGACCCCCCAGCCACTGCGCCCACATGTAGGGCCGTCCCACCTCGCACAGGTACTCACTGAACTCATGCATCCTGCAACATAGTCAGTGACGTTACAGACCCACCAGCCACTGCACCCACATGTAGGGCCGTCCCACCTCACACAGGTATTCACTGAACTCGTGCATCCTGCAACATAGTCAGTGATGTTACAGACCCACCAGCCACTGCACCCACATGTAGGGCCGTCCCACCTAACACAGGTATTCACTGAACTCGTGCATCCTGCAACATAGTCAGTGATGTTACAGCCCCCCCAGCCACTGCGCCCACATGTAGGGCCGTCCCATCTCACACAGGTATTCACTGAACTCATGCATCCTGCAACATAGTCAGTGATGTACCCTAATGTTACAGACCCCCCAGCCACTGCGCCCACATGTAGGGCCGCCCCACCTCACACAGGTACTCACTGAACTCATGCATCCTGCAACATAGTCAGTGATGTACCCTAATGTTACAGACCCCCCAGCCACTGCGCCAACTTGTAGGGTTGTCACACAATATAATTACAAAGGGATCTTTTACTCCGATACAATTCTGCATGTAAGAACTGTGACATTTTTCTTTTTGCCAAGATGAAAATTTCCAAATCGAGGTGGCAGCGAAATGAAGCTGAATTGTTTTAGAAACTGACATATGATTGGCCTGACAACCCATGCATCCTTCATTTAGATTGGGCGGTCATTGTGAGTGAGTGAGTACGTTTTTACGTCGCTTTTTAGTAATATACCAGCAACATCACAGTAGAGGACATATAAAATGGGACTCACACATTGTACCCACGTCGGAAATTGAACCCGGGTCTTCAGCGTGATGAGCGAACGCTTTAACCACTAGGCTACCCCACCACCCCCTTGGCACGGTCATAATTTGACCAGGTTTCACTTCAAATCTTGTCACAGAAAGATGTAGTAAAAGACCTGATTATAATGAGATATATCCTTCAGCAGTACATTTTCTGAACAAAAAATGTGAGGTGAGGTGACATGGGGTTTAATGTCATGTCCAAGATTATTGCACTTATATAGCGGCGTGCATGCATGTGTGGCTGCTTGTCCTAGTCTGGACTGATACTGATTTACAGAGGTAGCCTCAAACCCGGGTCTTCGGCGTGACGAGCGAACGCATTAACCACTAGGCTACCCGACCGCCCCCATTTGGTTTGACGCAGCCAGAGATCAAACCTTCCACTCTCCGGGTGGAACTCTACCACTACACCACGGAGGCAGTCTTGAACAAAAACAGTAGTGAACACTGACCACACAATTTAAAAAAGATAGCCCCAAACATGTTTGGTTCAGTATAGTCAGTCGGTCAGTCAGTTGTTGATGTTTACCACCTTGGTGAAACCCACAGGCACAGGCTTGGTGCAAATAGAGTAAGAAACATAATCAGGGTGAATTTCGAACCCATGATCACAGGTCTTAGTGAATTCCATCACCTTTGACCAATGGGCCGCCTGTGCCCCTTCTCCTTGGATGAGACACTGTTAAAACGGCTTCTTGAGTGAGTGAGTGAGTATGGTTGTACGCTGCTTTTAGCAATATTCCAGCAATATCACGGCGGGGGACACCAGAATTGGGCTTCACACATTGTACCCATGTCGGGAATCGAACCCGGGTCTTAGGCGTGACAAGCGAACGCTTTAACCACTAGGCTACCAAACCGCCCCAACGGCTTCTTGATGAATTATCCATGTAACTATTAATTGTGACTTACCCTTGTTTGACCAGTTCATACTGGTTGGCCTGATTGGGCGTGGTTTTGCCATGGTCACCAGGGTAGAGTTCATTTAAGATGGAGTCCAGAGACAGCAGGTCCCTGAAGAAACAAAATGTACAACTTTGCAGAGTAAAAATGACCTCAATAGGTGGTGAGGGGAAATGTGGTTTAACACCACGTTGAAGATTATAACACATATATAGTGACGTGCATGCAAGTCCACAGGCCACAGTTACACGCCACAGTTTAACATGAATACCCCACTGAGACACAGTATACTGACTCCAAGCCGACCAGTCCTTGTTTTAGCCTCTTAATGCCAAGCAACAGGCAGGGTAACAACAAGTAACATCTTTTAAGGTCTTTTGGTATGACCTGGCCGGGGATAGTACCCCCGACCTTCTACTCTCTGGGCAGACCACTAGGCTACTACACTGCCCCATAACCAAGTTGGAAACATCGCCATTCAATGGGAAATCAAGCTTCAAATTTGAGTCAGCTTAAGAGAGGGGACCCCCCTAGACAAATGACTCATTGAGTAATGTCATGTTGGCCATGTGATTTCATAAAAGCCAGCATAAGCCTTCTCGTGTGTTTCAACTGAAATAGAAGTATTGTTGAGAGGTGACATATGTCCGGCTTACCCTCCTGATATGGAGTTGGTGATGGTGTCCGGACCACAGTTGACCTTGACATTGACAGTGATGATCTGGAGGACCAGTAGGTAGTGGAAGGTCAGGTGGAGACTGCTGCCATCTGGTGGGAGACAAGGGAGGTAAACAGGTATATACATGACACAATCCTCACACAGCAACACCTTGCAGAGGCAGGTGAGGTAATGTGATGTTATGTGGGGGGTGAGGTGAGGTGAGGTGAGGTGAGATGACGGGATGGGAGGGGTGGAGAGGTGAGGTGAGGTGTAAATGGGGTCAGGTTCTTGACATATACTTACATAGTGCATGCGTGCCTGCTTGTACTAGTCCGGACAAATGTCAGTCCTACAGTGTTAGTCCACTAAGATACCATACCGCAGTTTAACTTGGATAAACCACAGTGTACTGACTCCGAGAAAACCATTCGTTGTTTTATCCCCCTAATGCCAAGCGCCAGGCAGTGTAACAACAAGTACCATCTTTTAGAGTCTTTAAGTATGAAGTGGCCGGGGACTGAACCACTTGCCTAGGCTCCGGGCAGATGCTCTATCCAATAGACCATGGAGAAGAACTCCATGCTCTTGGAAAATAGGGGCAGCACACGGCCCCAGTCACAGTGAACAAAAACACTACCAGGAACAACTTTTACTAAGCACCAGACATAGATACAATATCTGCTAACTCACTATACTGCTGCCTCATGTTCCCAGTTTGCACAAGGGTTTCTTGTTGTGTGCATTTCTGTCACTAAACATGGAAGGACGGTGGTGTAGTTAAGGCGTTCACCTCTCACGCCGAAGACCCGGGTTCATGTCCCCACATGGGTACAGTGTGTGAAGCCCATTTCTGGTGTCCCCGCCGTGATATTGCTGGAATATTGCTAAAAGCGGCATAAAACCATACTCACTCACTCCCACCCTTCTAAACATGGCTACACAATATTTGGTACTATGTGATATATTGTGTGGTTAAATCCCAGCATTGCATTCATCAGCACTCTCTAAAGATACATCAGTGAGTCTAATTACATCTTAAACATTCATTTCAAGTTTTTTATACAAGCAGGTGTGTCATTCCGATTTTACAAAATGAGTGTCAGAACTTCTGTATTTCCCAGGCGGGAGGAAGGGTAATACATGAATTCTTACATGAGTTTCATAAAATCAATTTGACACACATGTGAGTGTAATCATTTCTTTATTACCAATTATTTCTTAATTCTGTCGGGATTTCCCTTTATCAGTCTTCAGCTATAATGTCGTTTCTAGCGTGGCGTCATTCTAACATTATGTCACAACAAATTTGGAATGACGTCAACAATCCTGTCCGGATGACGTCAACAACACACTGGTTCACATGAAGTGAATATTTGCAAATACAATTTTTATGAACTTGGTTATGTGGATCCACCAACCTCTTGTTGTGACATCCAGTATGACAGACAGCGGGTGTTTGCGGAGAACTTTCGCCTTCTTGTCTGTCTGCCTTGCTTCCACCGTCTTCCTCCTCCGCTTCTGCAACATTGGCCGCAACATCCATATCAAACAGTTTGATGGACCAACATTCGTGCTTGGTTATGAAGATTTCAAGGAAAATTCAGTTCAGATTCAGACTGGAGCATGAAACGATCTCAGTAAATTTTTTCCGAAGTCGAAGTCTAAGACTGTCACCATAGGGGGACGCCTATACTTTACAGTGGACTTTGACTTGTCGACAGTCTGAATGTGGCTGATGGTTTGACAACACATATGCAGGTTTCGGATTACACTCAGAGAAGAACCCATGACCTATGAGGAATTAAGGATTATCTGTCCTGAGTGAATGAATGGTATTTAATCCCGAGCCCTTGGCGAGTGACTTACAGCATTCATTTACAAGGGGCAGATTATCTATAATTCCAAGCTATTCTATATATTGCTTGTTTACATTTTAAATTACGAGTATTCTATATATGACTCGTTGACATTTTAAATTATGAGTTATTCTATATATGACTCATTGACATTTTAAATTCCAAATTATTCTATATATGACTTGTTGACATTTTAAATTCTGAGTTATTCTATACAAACTCGTTGACATTTTAAAAGAGAAAATGAACAAAACATAAGAAATGTCAACCCTACAGAGAAACTTCAGTGAAGGCAGCCAATTGTTCAGATGACGTCACGTAATCAGTGATGACACAATCAATGAATCATGTGATATTGTATTTTTCTCAACAATGAATCACTGTGATGTCACATGGCTTCCATCAGCCAATCAACATTCAGAATCATGAAAACGTACATGGCTTCAATCGGCAAATCAACATTCAGAATCACGAAAATGCACATGCGCAAATATCGGAAAGTTCATTACACATGCTCATTCCAAGCTTATGAGTAATATTGTCTTGTAGCCAACTTATCACAAAGCCCCAAATTGAGTTTAAGTTGAACCTCCCCATGAAGATCGGGGTTAGAACCGGTCTTCAGCAACCAATGCTTGTCGAAAGAGGCGACCAATGGGATCAGGTGGTCACTGACATGGTTGATGCATGTCATCGTATCCCAACTGTGTAGATTGATGCTCATGTCAGTCACTGGATTGTCTGGTCGAGATTTAATTATTTACAGATCGCTGCCGAGTGTGATATTAAACAACAAACACAAACAAACATACATCAAGAAAAACCTTACATATAGTTGACCTTGAATGTACTTGACATTGAACTCACCGATTTCGATGTCTCCTGCTCCTCTTGATCGCTGTCACTCTCCTCATCTAAAGGACAAGGTCAAACACTTAAATGTAACAAACATACCTGGCTTAGAATATACTTTTAACACGATAAAAGCACCAAAAAAGATGTGAAACTTCAGAAACAAAGACACCTTTCTTCATCAACTAATGATGCCGCTTTCACACATTATCAACATAAGTAGTGTGACATACCTAGGTCTGGTGTCGCCGTGGTAACAAGAGACCTTGCAGCATCAATATCTCCTTCTATGGTCACTTTCAGCTGTGTGTCTGGCAACAGAAAGAAGATGATAAAGACACAATAATCTCAAGTTTTCTAAACAGGAGGGAGAGTGAGATGGGTTTAACACCACTTTTTAAGTATTGCAGTTATATCACAGTGTGTCAGCTTAATGTGGGAGGAAAGCCCGAAGTGATGCAGGTCTGAGACGTTTATCACTTTGGAGAAACCCATGAGGTGGTGCTAAAACTAGTAACAGAATTGGAGCCACACCGGGATTCAAACCCACAAGTCTCCTTGTAGACACTGGCCTGCATGTACAGGGAGATAACACCTATACTCACCACAAGCCTCCTTGTAAAAACTGGCCTGTATGTACAGGGAGATAACACCCATACTCACCACAATCCTCCTTGTAGACACTGGCCTGTATGTACAGGGAGATAACACCCATACTCACCACAAGCCTCCTTGTAGACACTGGCCTGTAGGTACAGGGAGATAACACCCATACTCACCACAATCCTCCTTGTAGACACTGGCCTGTATGTACAGGGAGATAACACCCATACTCACCACAAGCCTCCTTGTACACACTTGCCTGTATGTACAGGCAGATAACACTCATACTCACCACAAGCCTCCTTGTACACACTGGCCTGTATGTACAGGCAGATAACACTCATACTCACCACAAGCCTCCTTGTACACACTTGCCTGTATGTACAGGCAGATAACACTCTTACTCACCACAAGCCTCCTTGTACACACTGGCCTGTATGTACAGGGAGATAACACCTATACTCACCACAAGCCTCCTTGTAGACACTGGCCTGTATGTTCAGAGAGATAACACCTATATTCACCACAGGGCTCCTTGTAGACACTGGCCTGTATGTACAGGGAGATAACACCTCTACTCACCACAAGCCTCCTTGTACACACTTGCCTGTATGTACAGGGAGATAACACTCATACTCACCACAAGCCTCCTTGTACACACTTGCCTGTATGTACAGGGAGATAACACTCATACTCACCACAAGCCTCCTTGTACACACTTGCCTGTATGTACAGGGAGATAACACTCATACTCACCACAAGCCTCCTTGTACACACTGGCCTGTATGTTCAGAGAGATAACACCTATATTCACCACAGGGCTCCTTGTAGACACTGGCCTGTATGTACAGGGAGATAACACCCATACTCACCACAAGCCTCCTTGTAGGCACTGGCCTGTATGTACAGGGAGATAACACCCATACTCACCACAAGCCTCCTTGTAGACACTGGCCTGTATGTACAGGGAGATAACACCCATACTCACCACAAGCCTCCTTGTAGACACTGGCCTGTATGAACTGGGAGATAACACCCATACTCACCACAAGCCTCCTTGTAGACACTGGCCTGCATGTACAGGGAGATAACACCCATACTCACCACAAGCCTCCTTGTAGACACTGGCCTGTATGTACAGGGAGATAACACCCATACTCACCACAAGCCTCCTTGTAGACACTGGCCTGTATGTACAGGGAGATAACACACATACTCACCACAAGCCTCCTTGTAGACACTGGCCTGTATGTACAGGGAGATAACACTTATACTCACCACAAGTCTCCTTGTAGACACTGGCCTGTATGTACAGGGAGATAACACTTATACTCACCACAAGCCTCCTTGTAGACACTGGCCTGTATGTACAGGGAGATAACACTTATACTCACCACAAGTCTCCTTGTAGACACTGGCCTTTATGCACAGGGAGATAACACCCATACTCACCACAAGCCTCCTTGTAGGCGCTGGCCTGCATGTACAGGGAGATAACACCCATACTCACCACAAGCCTCCTTGTAGGCGCTGGCCTGCATGTACAAGACATACAGTGGTCGGGGAAGGTGGTATGCTGTCTCGTGCTGCTCGCACACTTCATCGTACTGCATCCCAAGGTAGCCCTGCACTGGCTTTGTGGCCTACAACAGGAACAGCATCCAACATCATCAGCCTCAATCTACCTCTATAATTCCTCATGTTCACACTGGACAATGATCATGATAATCATCACATGATTAAGCATGCACAAAGAGTTTATGATGTAGTTATAAGTAAACACTCCATAACTTGAGTCAGAAGTCCAAGTGCAGTAAGATCCATTTCAGTGTAGTAGGTCAGGGAATAATAGTTCATATAAGGGACCGGTCATTTATTACAGAGAGGTGGTTCCCAGAGGTGTTGATGCACTGCTGTATTAGTTACCCTCCACTAATAGTAGTCATAGTTTTGGATGGCCCTCCCAAAGTCCTTAAAAGACAAAATGCAAAAGCACTATATATATTTTTCATTACCCTCCATAAATATATGTACTATTTTTAATGACCCTCACCTAGAGATTGTCATATTGTTCGGATACCAGCCCTGATTCCCTCTCACCCACCAACCCGATATAATAAATAGCCGCTCCCTAACAACACTTAAAGTCTTCAGAAAAAGATGACAAAAGACTGATGCTGAGGGCTTTCTTCCACAGCAATCACAGCGCTACGATGATCATAACTCCCATACTCAAACAAAGGCTTGTGACAGTCACTAAGATTGCTTCATGATACAGGCCCCTGGGCCCTGTTCCACGAAGCAATTGTAGTGCTACGACTGCAGTAAGTCTATGTTAAAGAATGGGAGTTACGATCATCTTAGCGCTACGATCGCTTTGTGGAACAGGGCCTTGGCTAGTAGTCTCCAAGGTGGGTCCCAACTTGTCAAACAGCTCATGTGTAGCCATGGTTACCTGTAGTATGGACTGCAGCTTGGGCTGGAGACTCTCGAGGTGGTCCTGCTTGGTCTTGATCTCCTGCGTGATGTCCTCTCTCTGAGTCTGAGCCTCCTTCAACTTGGAGGCCAGTCTGCAGCAACAACACAACAACAAGTTAAACAACACATAATACTAGGTTAAACAACACACAATACCAGTTTAAACAACACATAACAACATGCTAAACAACATTTAGCAACATGCTAAACAACACCCTACATGGATCAACAACACAATAGTCTAAACAACAAAACACAATTTAAACAACAAAACATACGTCATCAATACTGATCAACAACATACAACAACATGCAACAACAACACAAGACAGATTCAACAACACAACAGGCTCAATGGCACAGTTCAACAACACTCAACAACACATAAACATACATGCTTGTAACACATTACACACAGACACAGCTCAACAACATGCATGTACAAAAGGCTTAACAAAAAACAAGAATACACCCCTGCAACAGCTTTGACAACACACAACATACTTCAACTCTGAGTGTACAGAACAGTTGTCTAACAGAACTAGACACAGCAGTAAACGGACAACTAGACACATGAATAAACAGAACACTGTTTCCTGACAACTAGACACACACATAAACAGAACACTGTTTCCTGATAACTAGACACATATATAAACAGAACACAGTTTCCTGACAACTAGGCACACACATAAACAGAACACTGTTTTTCTGACAACTAGACACATATATACACAGAACACTGTTTCCAGACAACTAGACACACACAGAAACAGAACACTGTTTTTCTGACAACTAGACACATATATAAACAGAACACTGAGTGTTTCTTGACAACTAGACACATATATAAACAGAACACTGACTGTTTCCTGACAACTAGACACATATATAAACAGAACACTGTTTCCTGACAACTAGACACACATATAAACAGAACACAGTTTCCTGACAACTAGGCACACATATAAACAGAACACTGAGTGTTTCCTGACAACTATACACATATATAAACAGAACACTGACTGTTTCCTGACAACTAGACACATATATAAACAGAACACTGTTTCCTGACAACTAGACACATATATAAACAGAACACAGTTTCCTGACAATTAGACACACATATAAACAGAACACAGTTTCCTGACAACTAGACACATATATAAACAGAACACAGTTTCCTGACAACTAGAACACATATAAACAGAACACAGTTTCCTGACAACTAGACACATATATAAACAGAACACAGTTTCCTGACAACTAGAACACATATAAACAGAACACAGTTTCCTGACAACTAGAACACATATAAACAGAACACAGTTTCCTGACAACAGAACACATATAAACAGAACACAGTTTCCTGACAACTAGACACATATATAAACAGAACACAGTTTCCTGACAACTAGACACATATATAAACAGAACACAGTTTCCTGACAACTAGACACATGTATAAACAGAACACTAACTGTTTCCTGACAACTAGAACACATATAAACAGAACACAGTTTCCTGACAACTAGAACACATATAAACAGAACACTGAGTGTTTCCTGACAACTAGACACATGTATAAACAGAACACTAACTGTTTCCTGACAACTAGAACACATATAAACAGAACACAGTTTCCTGACAACTAGAACACATATAAACAGAACACAGTTTCCTGACAACTAGACACATATATAAACAGAACACAGTTTCCTGACAACTAGACACATATATAAACAGAACACAGTTTCCTGACAACTAGACACATGTATAAACAGAACACTAACTGTTTCCTGACAACTAGAACACATATAAACAGAACACTGAGTGTTTCCTGACAACTAGACACACATATAAACAGAACACAGTTTCCTGACAACTAGAACACATATAAACAGAACACTGAGTGTTTCCTGACAACTAGACACACATATAAAGAGAACACTGAGTGTTTCCTGACAACTAGACACACATATAGAACACATATAAACAGAACACTGAGTGTTTCCTGACAACTAGACACATGTATAAACAGAACACTAACTGTTTCCTGACAACTAGAACACATATAAACAGAACACAGTTTCCTGACAACTAGAACACATATAAACAGAACACTGAGTGTTTCCTGACAACTAGAACACATATAAACAGAACACTGAGTGTTTCCTGACAACTAGACACACATATAAACAGAACACAGTTTCCTGACAACTAGAACACATATAAACAGAACACTGAGTGTTTCCTGACAACTAGACACACATATAAACAGAACACTGAGTGTTTCCTGACAACTAGACACACATATAAACAGAACACTGACTGTTTCCTCTGTTCCAGCTCCCAGTCTAGCCTGGCCAGGGTCCGTTGATGTTTGTCCTTCTTAGTCAGCTCCTAGAAACACAATGACAAAACCATTTTCAATTTCTGAACTGTACACGAAGCATACTCATACTCATTTTCTAATTTATTTGTGCAAGGGTGGATTTTCACTGGCTTTATATAATAATCATCCAATACAAGTTATTTCATCGTCATCAAAGGCATCACGGGCTATGAGGCAAGAGGCAACAAAAACGATCGGGTGGTCAGAATTGGTGACATGGTTGATGGCGTGACATCGTACCCTGATGGTGTGGATCATTGTTTTTCACAATCACAGCACTTTCTGGTTAAGACCCAATTATTTACAGACTGATGTCATATAGCTGGAATTTTGCCAAGTGCAGTGTTAAACAATCAAATATTTTGAACGCAGGACATAAGCTACTGACTGGTTTGGAGATGTCTGCAGGCGCCTCCTTGTAGAAGTCTCCCACTGATACCAGCTCAATCTCCTCGTCCTTTGACCTGTACAAGACAAAGTAGCCGTGTAACATGGACACGAACAAATAATAATTTGGCTTCCAGTTCCACAAAAACAACACAATTATTCACTGGACATTTAATGGATGACCTTTAACAAAATGTGTTGTGTCTACAAATGAAAAGAGTATGTCTTGAAGCAAAACAATAACCTCCAACAAAACTCCTGCTCCACAATGTGAGCGAAGTATGAGTATCAATGCAGGCCTATGTTGAAGTACAGGAGCACACAATGTGAGCCAAGTATGAGTATCAATGCAGGCCTATGTTGAAGTACAGGTGCACACAATGTGTAAAATACAATGTCGGCTTTGACATATCCACTATATCCCTAACCAACCCTTATTTTTTTAACTCAAATTCACTTGGTGATCACATCCCAGTGTCCAAAATAGCTGCCTGCCCACTATCATGACTATCCCTTGGCTGACATTTCTGTTAAAATTTATTCTTACCTGCCCAATTAAAAATTTCATTTCAAACTGACACAATAAAGTAAATCTGTGAAACATTTTAATGATTATAGTAAATTACGCTGGCATGTATCTACAATTGTCAGTCTGCACCTTTCAACACAGGAACTCCAGACACTCGGTGATCTCCTTCTGGAGATGACTTACTTGAACTCCAGACACTTGGTGATCTCCTTCTGGAGGTGTGACTTACTTGAACTCGAGACACTTGGTGATCTCCTTCTGGAGGTGTGACTTACTTGAACTCGAGACACTTGGTGATCAACTTCTGGAGGTGACTTACTTGAACTCAAGACACTTGGTGATCTCCTTCTGGAGGTGTGACTTACTTGAACTCGAGACACTTGGTGATCTCCTTCTGGAGGTGTGACTTACTTGAACTCGAGACACTTGGTGATCTCCTTCTGGAGGTGTGACTTACTTGAACTCGAGACACTTGGTGATCTCCTTCTGGAGGTGGTGACTTACTTGAACTCCAGACACTTGGTGATCTCCTTCTTGAGGTGTGACTTACTTGAACTCGAGACACTTGGTGATCTCCTTCTGGAGGTGGTGACTTACTTGAACTCGAGACACTTGGTGATCTCCTTCTGGAGGTGCATGGCTTCATACAGCAAGTTCTGCAGCTGCAGGTGGTACTGGTCGATCCTCTGCTTGGCCTGCCACACACACAACAGCAAATATGGAGTTAACGCCACTTATAATATTGCTTGAGATAGTTTTAAATTATGTCAGCATAATGTGACAGGAAAGACGAACAAGGCCCAGGTATAATGTCCTGTGCAACCCGCAAACACAGACAAGATGCATCCAGGACAATCCTGGGGTTGAAGCAGTGTCTGAAATAACTGCCTGCTCACTGAGATATCATGCCGCAGTTTAACATGAATACCCCACTCAAACACAGTATACTGACTCCGAGCCGACCAGTCCTTGTTTTAGCCCCTTAATGCCGAGCGCCAGACAGGGTAACAACAAGTACCATCTTTTAACGTCTTTTGGTGTGACGCTCTACCACTAGACCAACAATATGAAGGCAGCCTGTAAACAATCAAGTCCGGTCCAGACAATCCAGTGATTGACATAATGAGCAATCATCCACCCGCTCAAAATCAACCAATTCACCGATTGTGACCAACCGACCTCACAGCAAGCATTAGTCCCTGAGGCAAAGACACAGGGACCGACAGATGTTGAATTTACCAGTCCAAGTCATAGTGTACAGGTCAATAATCAGTATATATCAAATAACGCAAACATTGAGAAACTATCCTGTGTTCTATGAGAACTGACCTCACTGGTCCCCTCTCGGACCTTGCGACAACGGAAGTGAGCAAGACGGTTCAGTTTCTTCAGGACAACAAACTGCAGACTTGCATTGATTCTCTTCTCCTCTAATTCTTCTGCATTCTGTAAATATCCAGACAATCAAAATAAACTGCTGGGCAAAAGAAAGCATATTCTTGAAAATCAGATTCGACCAAAACATTACAAATATTATCAAAACAATACTAGGCTGGTAACAGTCACTGAAACACTGCAAACTTAAGATACAAACACAAATATGATACCCATGGCAACATCTGTCATGCAGGGATTTATCTGGACCTGATCAGAGGCTCTTATTCAGCCCTAAATCTGCAGCAAATGTCAGTAAAAACTTGAAAAATGGAATTACAAATTTCCTAACACATTGTCATGATCATGTTCATTTTCATTTTGTGCAGTAATACTAAAGTTAAGGCTTTATAGAATCTGTAAAGTGAGTAAAGGAAACACAACTATGATACCCATATCAAACACAACACCATTGAATAACCGTTTCTTTTCTGTTGCATTTTAGCCACCATCAAACATGTATGTACTTTCTTTTGCCAGGTATTATAAACTAGGCAAAACACAAACGGTTTTACAATGATATTTTGAACAGTAATTCAGTAATAGATAGCATGGTTGCCAGCTGAATCATGTTAACGTGAGTAGGGTTTTACGCCGCTCTTAGCAACATTCCAGCAATATCACGGCTGGGGGACACCAGAAATAGGCTTCACACAATGTACCCATGTCGGGAATCGAACCCGGGTCTTTGGCGTGACGAGTGAACGCTTTAACCACTAGGCCACCCGACCTCCCCCATGTTAATGTGGGAAGAAAGCCCAGTCTTGATGTTTACTCCTTGGCTTTGGTGAAAACCAACAAACAAGAATTATATACAGGATGGATCTAGCATTCCAACCCAGGATAATAGCATGCTACAAGGGATGCCACATGTGCAACAAATTGAGGCACCTTAGACAACTGTGGCCTGTCTTGTGGATGAGTTCTGTAGTGTTAATGTGGGTATGAGTCTAATGGCTATTCCTTTGCTGATATCTTTACACCTATTTATCATTGTGTTGTCATGGCAACATCTGTCACGCATGAAATATAGCAGGGATTTATCGGGACCTGATCAGAGGCTTATAAGTCTGCAGCAAATGTCCGTAAAAACTTGAAAAGGAATTACAAATTTCCTAACACATTGTCAAGATCATGTTCATTTTATGCAGTAATACTAAAGTTAAGGCTTTGAAGAATCTGTATAGTGAGTATAGTGTTTGTTTGTTTGTTGGTTTGTTTAACGCCGCACTCAGCAATAATCCAGCTCTTTGATGGCAGTCTGTAAATACAATCCAGTGATAGAAATCACGAGCATCGATCCACTCAATTGGATACAATGACATGCATCAACCAAGTCAGCGAGCCTGACTACCTGATCCCGTTCTTACGACAAGCATAGTCACCTTTTATGGCAAGAATGGGTTGCTTAAGACCTATTCCACGCTCCCAGACATAAAATAGTATGAAATCCTGAGACAAATTGGAAATACACCATATAAATCAATAAATCCAAACTATGATGGGGAAAAAAAAGGACATTACAACCATAATACATTGCAATTTTGAACACAGGATTCAAACAAACACATGGTGTTTACCAGTGGCTAACTTACAGCCTCTTTGTTCTGCTTCAGTTTGTTTATGTCCGAGACTGAAGCTCTCATGATGTCACAGGAGGTCTTGAAGACTCCGAGGTCATCGTGTGGGTCATGGCTGTCCACCTCCTCCTCCTCCTCCATGTGGAACAGTATCGGCTCCTGCAGGTATATACGTAACCATGGTAACATTAGAACATGTTGAGTGAGTGAGTTGGGGTCTTTGAATAAAGATTCCACACTGAAACCAAAAACCAGTGCTGTTTTCATCTTGTTTTCCAAAACCTGTACTGTTTTTTTATCTTGATCCTTATAACTTAACATGTTTAAAGTTCAGTGCCGATGAAAATAAGTACACACATTCTGAGGCAAGTGATTCAGGGAGAGATTGATATGTGGATCTTAAGCATTGTTTAAAATACTTATAGGCCTGGAATTTATCTAGATCTGCTCAGAGGCCAATATTTGTCCACACGTCTGAAGCAAATGTCAGTACACATTCCTAAATTGTAATTAAACATTTCCCAGTCCATACTCTTATGGTAATAATGTTATGGCTTTGGAGGGGTGACTTGCATTTCACTAATCATGCATATAACAGGACCAATACAGGGGTACAGTTTTAAACATTATTGCATTGTATGCAATTGTATGCAATGCTAAAGTACCTCTGAATTTTGGAAAACAAAAACTGTAAAAAAAAGAGACTAATAATCAAGGCATATATGATGCTGAAAGATCGAAAACAGGACAATCCGCAACGGTTGTCCGGAATCACGATAATATTTTTTTGGAGTATTTTTTTAAAATCTTTGATTATATTTTGACGAGGAAGATGATTTTTTCCAAGAACTACTGTTTTAAAAAACGTGATTTTCCCCGTTTCCGTGGAGATTTCACATCCCTGAATTTGGAAGAAAGAAAAACAAAACAACTCCCAATTTGCTGACAAGGGCACCTTATTGAGTGCTCAGAGAAGTTCAAGTACACTGTAAATTCTACACATTGGCAGACTTCTTATGGGATGGTTTGTAGCTCCAGGTAGTGACACAATAAAAACTGACACTAAATGATAAAGGGAGGAGCATGACAAGAGGATAACCACAGCTGTAACATGGCCACCGATGTGCTAACACATTAATATGTCTACACAAAGGATCATTTTCATGAGTTCTCTCAACCAGCCTTGTCAACATAGCTTCTTGTTCAACAGCTTAACATATATCATATCTACATACCTCAAGCACAGGACCATGTAACTAATGATAATAATAAACAAACTCACAAAAACATGTAGATGGCCTCATTTGCGAGTTTGTTATTATTATTAGTAGTAGTAGTTACATGGTCCTGTGCTAAAACACAATTAGACACATAACTTACAACACAATTTTACAATACCATGATGATAGATCTCACCATGGATAAAACATTTTGACAATCATTGATTCAGTAATTTAACATGTTTAAGATCTTGATTGTGAGGTTTGCTTGATATTTTTGTAAATCTTTTTTTTTTTTAGTGATAACATGAGGTGAAAATACAACTTCCACTTAGAGGGTAGTTCATCCGACCAAATTATGCCAATCATGATATCAATACTTTTTTTTGTCATACAAATTAATTAAAAAAGATATAATATATGTCATGTTCCGTTGAGACCAGAATTCGTTGTTCCGTTTTTTAGATTGTCCAATAATAACTGCTGCCATTCCATCACTTCCAATGAAGTTGAACGAAAACAGGACAACTCATGCCGAACACTATCTTTTGTGCAATTTTGATAAAAATCGTTTAGCTATCCAACCTTAGACGCCAGGCTGTCGATCGACTTTGTCTTCTTCATGTCTGGGCTGCTAGATGTAATCTCTGGTTTCAAGAGCCGCTTCTTCTTCTTATCCTTTACGTCTAATTCTTTCGACATTATTGTATGTGAACCGGAATACGCGAAATCTGAGCGTGCAAATGGAGTTATCTCCCCTGTACCCTCGCGGGAACGACTCCATATTAGAAAAGCGCGAAATTCAAATCAATATTCATTGCCTGCTGTGCCGTCCCAAATTCTATTTGCATTATCATTTCATTGGTGCACTGACTGATTTCAATTTTCTTTGATTTCCGCTGATCAGTGACGAACTTCTTTTATGGCGGAGGAATGGGATTCACGTAAAAAGCATGGCTGCACTGATTTAATATATAGTAATGGTACATGTGTTGCACGTGTCCTTGTGATTAATTATTTAGTATCCTTGGCTTTTTGTCACGTGTAAAATGGATATTACTGAGTTACTCGTCGTATTTAATCCATTGTCTTTTTTTTCAAGTTCTTGTCTTACACGTGCGGGAGCTGCCATGATGGACAATGCCGTAGACCGGACGTGTATGAGTTTACGACATAGCCTGTCGCGAGATTTTGGAAATCTTGGTACAAATAGATATGGACAGGGTACAAAACGACATGGTTACCGAAGTCTGGGTACAATTTAATATATCGATTTGTACCCAGGGTACACTTCGATGGTACCCAGATCGAGAATGACCCTATCAGCTACAGTTAGGAGATAGCATAAGGGAGACCGTGTGTACCGGGGGCAAAACTAACACGGGCAACTTATATTAATGCAAATCAATATAAAAAAAACAACAACTCTCGCCAAGTTCTTTTGTGCCAAATGAAACATCATCATCGTAGCTTTAAAATTCAGTATCATTTGAGGTTCCATGTCCCGTCGATACATAATTATTTCGGATGAAAGGCGATGCTAGCAAGTGTTACAATCCTACCCAATCATGGTTCAATTGTAACGGATGGATGGATCAAATGTAACACACAAGGGTCAAATGTAACAAACTGTTTTATATTGAAAATACTCTAAAATAGAACTATGAATGTGAATAACTTTGTTTGAACTGGAAACAACTGTACATTCGTCATTCATCGTCATCTGATTGACGTAGCAAAACTGTGTACATTTTGAAGAAGATTTCAATGTAAAATATCACATTGGGAAAACCATACTATAGTGTATTTCTTATGGTTTGCAATGAAAAGACGTTTGGGATTATCTGCCCTTGGGCAGAGGTGAAGGTTGGAGAGAATAAAAATGGCGGTAAGAAAATGACGTCTGCGTTTAGTTGTCTGTGTTATCAAGAAATAGTTCACAAGAATAATTATGGTAGAGGACAGATCCCACAACGCAACAAATCTTTGTTTTGGTGTTAACTCTTCATGAGTCCAATACTTGCATGAAGAACATTGTACCCATTCTTCACCTGGACGACTATTAGAAAACTTATAAACAAACCAAGCAAATGTTCATTTCAGAATCAGAATCACTGTCAGAATCGCAGTTAAAGGGTTTAAAATTCTTCCTTTGTTTAAACGCCAGACGTTTTGTTTTTGTTTTTGGTTTCTTCTTTTCATTTTATTTAGTATTTTTTTCTAACAAGATTCGTTTGACAGGCGTACGTGTCAGTAAGAATTTGGGATTTCTTTCTTTTTCGCCCACCATTTTGTTGTTTGTGTGGCTTTGTTACGAGCGCAAATTCGAATCTCCAGAAATGACGTCATGATAGAACAATGTTTCATCATGCAATAAACCACGCTTCGTAAGATACGCTTCGTTCAGCATTGTTCTTTGCGATTTATTGCGTAGCTATCTTATATTATCCCATTTGTTTTTGTAAACATGAATCTGTTATACATAAAATTTTATACCAGCATTTAATACAACGTTTATAAGAATAAATGTAAATATTCATGAAGAAACCTCGACTTTAAAAAAGAGTCGTGATTCACAACTTGCACGTGCATGTTTATGCACCGCGCACAACTTGGATGTTTGTGTGTTTGTTGGAAACATGATACTCAGACACGTGTTTTATAAAGTGAACAGCACACAATGATACAGTTTCTCATAAAAAACACTTTTGTTTAACCGTAAATAACCCATAGGCAATGCCAAGGCTTGCTGAAAATCAACGTATAGGCGTCGTGGATATGCTGCAAACAGGAATGGCGCAAAACGGACATTGGCTGCCAGACATTTAATGTTCTTCGAAACACGATATCATACCTTTGGTGAGATTATCTTCAGCAGGGCAGGATTCGTGTCTTGCCACGGTCATGTCGTCCATGCACGTGTAATGTCACGTCAACAAGACAACCATATTCGGTTGGGAGCATCTACGGAATCGATACCAAACTACAACATTAACAGCTCAAACAATTCCTGATTTGAGCCCAATTAGTGTCAAAACCGTACGGCTCCGTTGAGGGAGCACAACATTCGGCCCCGACGTCCAGAGATACACCACTTTTGCTTCCATGTGACGGTCAGACACCTAGGCACGCCTAGCTTGGTGTAGCCGAGAGCAGCGATTGGGTTTTACAGTCAAGACATGGGGACAGTATACTGCACAGTTGGTCGTGCAATGGTCTACAGGCGGCCAAGACAACGTTTTAGCGACGCTAGCGTTACTGAACCTCGTCAGTTTGTTGGTTGGAAGTGTAATGGTATGGGGTGGCATCACTAGTCATGGGAGACCATAGCCCACCATTGTTAATAGCAACGTGAATGGTGTACGCTACTTTTTGAGGCAGCATAACATTGCTGTACTGTTTCTCCAGACCTCTCCCATATAAAACACGCCTGGGATGAGATGGAACGTCGCCTACGACAAAACCAGAACCAGCCGGTAACGTTAGCTCAGTGGGGTCAATCTTTGGTTGACATTTGGAACAACAGGCAGTTTTCAATCATCTGGTGACGTCAATGTATCCACCGCTACCTCGCATGTATCAACGCAAATGGTCTTCACACCCGATATTGACATTGTTTATTGAGTTGTTTCACTACCCCTCTTTTAGGTCGTGTCTCTCTGTCTCCCGTTACCTGGTATGGGTTGTGTCAGATAAAACATGGATCAGACGATTGGATTGTTATTTTAAAAACATAACATTTACACCACTTTGTATGAAGCACAATTACTTTTTATTGTTAATATAGTTAAATACAGCTTTGGCGTACAGATGGAAATTTGTTTTTACAACAAGAGGCGTTGCAATTATTTAACACTTTAAAATTCCTTTCATGAGTAGCCTTCGCCATGCACGCTGTGTATTTTCTGATTATATAGCTGTAATCTCTATATAACTTAGCTATCCTCACACGCAAAAGAAAAGCAAGTGGTTTTAAGCAAAAAGGTAACAAACACGGAACATTAAATTGATACGAGTTTTAGCATGTAGTGAAGCCTGATGGTGGTATCAATATTTTTGGTTGCATTTTGGAAGCCCCGTGTTAAAACGCAACATAAAAAACGAATCGCCAAAACGCACCATTTCAATGAATATGTGGGTATCATGCACCCATTTCTTGCGAATTCGAAAATGCACGAACTGTCACAAACTGTTGTGGGTATAAAACTGTGGCCGATTCTTGGACCTACCACTCCTTGGTCAACAATTGTTGCAGTGATCAATGCTAATGGTGGCCACACCAGGTATTGACTGACATTTTGGGTATTGACCCGAAACTCTGTAAGCCCTTAACATTTGAAAAAAATATTGTCATCTGCCTTTTAATCCATTAAACTGTCTTCAGTCAAATTTTTGTCAATCTTGCCCTATTAGTATTTCTTGTCTTTAATGTTGAAAATAAATAACATGTATACTGCATACTCTACTCTACTTGTGTTTCTTTTGCGTGTGAGTATATATTGGACATCTGTGGTGTGCGGTTGTTCATTAATGCAACGTTTGTATGACGTCTACTGGAGAATATGCCTATATTGAGATGGATATATTTATGCTACACAAATTTCAACTTGGATTCTGTAAACTATGACTTCTAAAGGGAAAGTATCTTTCTTATGTCATACATTTTTTTCACATCGTTTATAATTGATCAACGTTTGATGCCTTTAATGAAACAAAACCCCATGATTGTGACAAACACGGACATTGGTTGGTTGGTTTGTTGTTTAACGCCGCACTCAGCAATATTCCAGCTATATGACGGCGGTCTGTAAATAATCGAGTCTGGACCAGACAATCCAGTGATTAATATCATGAGCATCAATCCATGCATTTGTGATCGATGACATGCATCAACCAAGTCATTGAGCCTGACCACCCGATTCAGTTAGTCGCCTCTTACGACAAGCATAGTAGCCTTTAACGGCAAGCATGGGTTGCTGAAGACCTATTCTTCCCCGAATCTACACAGGTCACACGGACATTAAGTTCCAATTTGTGGTATATTGGACACAAGTAGTAGCGCACTGTAGCTCACCTAGATATTTAGTAAATTATTGTAAAAGAACCATACATCAACTGAACAAAAGTTGCCGTCACCGTTTTATATTCAAATAGTTTCTGCATAAATACGAACAAACTAACACTCACGAAATATGATGTCATGACATCATCATGACTGCCATTTTTGAAATCGGATTTAATCTTGAACAAAGGCAGGTGTCATAATTTTTGGGGAAAAAGCATGTTTCAGATGTTTACAGACGCAGACACCTGACAAGCAGACCATGACATAAGCTCACATGACTTTCAATCTGGTGAGCTAAAAATTATGACTCAAGGATAAAACTTTGATTCCAACCATATTTCACCAGGCAACCCAGCTCCAGCAAAGGGACATAACCCTGCACAGCGAGTGGCAGCACCTTAGAGCTCGATGCCACTGCTCATCAGCAAAGGAAGATGTGGGGTACATAAATAACACAACACCAGGCAAATCAGTATCCCCTTTATTGGATGGTGTTGTGTGTCTGCTACCATGCTAGTTACAGTGCAGAGCTACAGATTAGCTGCATATTTGCGTAAAATACTCCCCAAAAATATTCAAAACCCAATTACTTTCAATTAATTTGCGTACAAGAACACATGCATTAAAGGAAAAACTCAAATGTATAAAACAGCATGCCTAAATACCCAGTGAAGCTTTTTCAGCAT